CCAAAAACTAAGGAGGAGATTTTATAGGAGCAGGTTTGATCATATTGTTGTTGTCATATTCTGTCAAATTATATCTGACATGTCAACCTTAATAGAGTTCTTGAGGCTTGTGAGACATTTAAGTAATGGCTTTATCACTGCTAACCTTCCGTGAGTGTCCATGGCTGATTTAAACCCAGCTGTCTTTTGAGTCCTATTCCATCTCCATTCATAACATCACATTGGCACTCTCAGTTCCATCAACCCTTTATAAGAAGATCAGAACACAAACAACCTTGCAGATTCCATATCTAACTAGCAAGAGATGGGAGTTATTCTTAACAACAACAACAACAACAACAACAACAACAACAACAACAACCCTGTAACACAAAAAATCCCATGGGAGTTGATCATTCTAGCTTTGGGATTCTAGCATTTGTAGTCCAGAAAGTAAAATTTTCCTCTCTTTTTTTGAAATTAGCTTTTTTTTATACCCACCAAAGTCCAAAAAAGTATTGATATGCAAGCTGTATCCAATATTACCTGTTAATGAGTTATGAATTCTGTGAAAAAGTGTCAGGGAAAATTGGTGCTGTTTATTAAAGGGTTGAGGGCACGCTTTCAGTTTTGTCTTCTGTTTTATGAGCTTAGGCTGGCAACAGATCAATTACTGTATATTTAGAAGCTCTTTGATAAGAGATTGAGCAACCAGATTCATTTCCTTAACCACAGCTTCATTCTTCATTAATTGCCCAGATGAGCCCTAGTCAGTCTTCTTCCCTCTCTGCTTGAGCCCTCACAGCTGAAGTATGCTAATGGTCACTTACAGGCAGCTTGCAAAGTTGCTGGAATGATCACAGTGAAATAGCATGTGTACAGCACTTAGAACGTTGGAGAAAACTATACAAAGACTAATTAATGGTTTCCTTTTATTTTGAGTTGTGGGAGATGCAAACCTTTCACCAGTAGAGGGTAAAAGGGTGTCAAAAACATGCTAAGTTTCATTCCTAAACTTCTTGTATCCAGGAGTGTACTAGACCAATTCACTCTGTGTGCAGTAGCTTCCAGAGAGCTTCATAACCATGTAATAATGTACTTAACTGAGCTGCCATGATCAGAAATCTGAATCTCCATAGCTATATTCTAACACTAGGCAATGTAAGATGTTAATGTGTTGTTGTCAAGTATTTTTTTAAATTTAAATTATTGTTGAATGTTATGATTTGGCCTAATGTTCACCTATTTCATTTTCAAAGCCAAAACTGTAGGTTGTATATATGCGGTCAAGTTTTTCCTTGATGTTCTGCTGTGCCAGTTTCGCCCACAGCTTTCTGTGCTGTAGTGCCATTTGCTTCTGTTAGGCCTTGTTATTCTACTTTTCCCAAGACAATTGGGTCAAATTGTGAATGTGACAATGAAAATAAGGACTGATTGCATTGATTTGTGTAGCTAGTTACTGCACTGATTGCCTTGCTTACAGTGGAAATGCTTCTGTCTTTTGGCAAAGTCCCTAAACATCTTTTATTTGGGCATCCATTGCCTAAATTGTTCCCAATAGGCATTCCCCTTTTGCTCCACACTTCACATACACAAGTACATATTGACTACATAAAGATCCTACTTATTTTTTAGTGGAAAGGAGCAGAGTGCTGAATTTTTCTTATAAAATGCTAAGACTTCTCTTAAAGCTGTTTGCAACAACAATAGACTTAATTATTTGACTGTTTTGAATGAAATGGTTTGCTGTCTCAGAGATGTATGGAAAAAATATGGGGGATCTAAGTTAATATTACTGTGAGACAGGAGGCAAGTCGGGGAGCTTGCTGGAGCACCATCCCTTCTCACCAAGGAAACAGAGAGTGGAGGGAATGGTCAATTCCAGACGACTCCGAGAAAGTCCCTGAGGAGTCTTTACAAGGAGCAGAAGAGAAATAGATAGTCCAGGGCTTCAGGGGGATGGGAGTGAAAGATGAGCAGTTGGAAAGGGCGGGAAAGACAAGAGAAGAGAAGGAGGAGATTGAATCAGGGGAGGAAGAGTTGATAGGAAGAAGTGGGACATTACCTCCTGGTTGGGAATGGATCTGGTTGCAAGGTCCATGGACCCAAAAGTGGGAGAGATTAAGAATCATAGAATCACAGAGTTGGAAGAGACCACAGGGGCCATCAAGTCCAACCCATGCAGGAATTCCATCAAAGCACTCTCAACAGATGTCCATCCAGCCTCTGCTTAAAAACCTCAAAAGAAGGAGACTTCACCACACTCTGAGGCTGCATATTCCACAGCCAACCAGCTTTGACTGTCAGGAAGTTCTTCCTAAGATTCAGGTGGAATCTCTTTTCCTGTAGTTTGAAAACATTGCTCCTTGTCCTAGTGTCTGGAGAGTACCCAAGGAAGAAGCAGATCATAGGAGACAGACAGTGATTCCTCCTCAACCATCTTATTAGGGGGAGGTTGAAGCGAGAGAGTGGAGAAGAAAGCTGAGAGAAAAGAGAGACAGAGTGGAGCAGGAAAGACGAGAGAGGAGTGAATGGCTAGCGCAGGAGATGAGGAGGATGGAGGGATGGAGAAGGTCTGGGAGACATTGAAGAATTAAGAATTAACTCTGAAGTTTAGTCTATCACTGTTTTCTCTTGTAAGAGGGAAAACAATGGCAAATATTATTGACATGCCACTTTTCCCCCCTTGTTTCAAAAATACTCTTCTTTTTTGAGTGCTAAGGAAAGTGCATTGCATGGAACACAACGTTTAACCCCAAATGATCTTTTGAAAAGGAAGAGATGGAGTTTGGATTGCATTACCAATTAAATTATTCTAACTTTTTATAAATCAACACTTCACAAGCTGTTGATTATAGGATGCAGACCTACAAAGTAAAGGCATAATTTTTAGACGTCACTGGAATTTGCATTCATTACTACAGCAGGGTTAATCAAGCACCTCCCAATTAAAACCACTTCAGCTGCCTTTTCATTAACCATGGCTTTATTGCACAAGGAAGATAATAAAATTATTACAACTTTTTACTCAGAGAGTGGATAGGATTTTACAAAACAAAGCAAAGTTAGAACGGGTGTGTGTCTGTGTCTGTTTGTGTGTGTGTGTGCACACACATGCTTATTTCCCTGAGGCAAGACATTTATGATTGCAGAGAGTAATCACCTTAAAAAGCTGTTGCTCTGTCAGGGTTGCAGTATTAGACTTCCTTTCATGATATCCAGTTGCTGATTGTATGAGCTGCATTTACAATCAAGATTATAATTCCCACCACTGGAACAGAGTATTAAGCATGCTAATGCTTAATGCTCAATCCCATGATAAAAGCTTTTAGTACTGCTATACTGGATCTGATACTGAAACTCATGGAAACCTTCAACCAACCATAGCCCCAAACCATGCCAAGAGTTAAAATAGATTGCACCCAAGATAATGACTGTTTAAGCACTAACCAGATAGTACCAAATTTCTCTGTGTAGACAAGGCAGAGTCAGGAGATGTATATACTGAACAGAGACTCCTCAAAGCAAGCTAAATCACTGAAAATTAGTTTTTAAAAAATTAGATGCAGAGGGCTGCATAGTGCATAGACAGTATATCTACAAGACCAGATGCACTTACTTACTTACTTACTTACTTACTTACTTACTTACTTACTTACTTACTTACTTACTTACTTACTTACTTACTTACTTACTTACTTACTTACTTACTTGACTTCTACCCCACCCATCTAGACCAAAGGTCTACTCTGGGTGGCATTACAGAAGGGAATTCAGGCAGGATACTAAAAGCTGAGCCAACCAAATGGCTAGAAGTAGACCTTGAAATACATCTGAATAGAGAGGAAACCAAATGAATTAGGAATTAGTTAGAAGAAACCATTCCAGACCTAGGGGGAGACAAGGAGTGAATGTGATGACTATTTATAATTTAGCTGGAGAAAGGGCTTCTAGCTATGCCTACAGTTAGAGAGAACTTTAGGGATGAAACCTAGAAGTAGACTAGCCACCCTAAGGTTGCTGAGACAAGCAACAGCGGGTCTCAGCTTCAGGACAGAATAGTATTTTCTTGTTTTCTAGCATAAAGTCTCCTTTGCCTATGTCATAGTGTGTTCCTCATTTTTCTTATGCATAAATTTGCTTGTTATTTTCCAGAAGTATTTCTTTGATTTTTGCAACTGTTTCCATCAGTGGCTTAATTGGGGTCGTTGCCCTTGGCACAAAATTCAGAGGTGAACAAAATTTCAAAAGGAAAAAAAAAGAGTAATAATAAATAAAAAATAGCACCACTCACCCCTTCCCAGCCCCCAACAAGTGCTCTGGCACCCTCAGAGGGCTGGTCAGTGGGCCAGCTTTTATCCTCATTCTGGCTGCCTCCCTGCCTGCCTGGGATGGGAGGAGCCAAGTAGGTTGTCCCCACTAGGCCTGGCCCTCCTTCCATGCCTCCTCCTCCTCTTCTCCCTCCCCCCACCTGGCTGCATGGGGTTGGGGGAAGGGACAGCGTGTCCTGGCCATCCAACCCCCTTTTCAACACTCACCTGCCTTGAGAGTGTGACACACTGCACCTAATAGGGAGAACAGGTCTGCATGGAGACTGATGCCAGCCAGTCCAGCCTCACCTTGCTGACTCCCCCCACGATCCCTGGGGGGGGGATGTGCTGCTACATTCAGTTGTTGTTTAGTCGTTAAGTCGTGTCAAACTCATCATGACCCCATGGCCCAGAGCACGCCAGGCCCTCCTGTCTTCACCACACTCTGAGGCTGCATATTCCACAGCCAACCAGCTTTGACTGTCAGGAAGTTCTTCCTAAGATTCAGGTGGAATCTCTTTTCCTGTAGTTTGAAAACATTGCTCCTTGTCCTAGTGTCTGGAGAGTACCCAAGGAAGAAACAGATCATAGGAGACAGTCAGTGATTCCTCCTCAACCATCTTATTGGGGGGAGGTTGAAGCGAGAGAGTGGAGAAGAAAGCTGAGAGAAAAGAGAGACAGAGTGGAGCAGGAAAGACGAGAGAGGAGTGAATGGCTAGCGCAGGAGATGAGGAGGATGGAGGGATGGAGAAGGTCTGGGAGACATTGAAGCCCGGGAGGGGTTCCCAGTGGGAAGATTTCATTGGAGACGTCTCTGTGCCCCTGTTGCCTGTACAGACGGGCACGACGATAAAGGAAAGGACATCACCCAAATTACCAGGACCCTGGAATTCCAGTTATGGCAGCCCCTTCGTTTTAGAAGAATGGAAGCCCCTTTCTACCCCGTTGGAGGAAGGAGATAGAGACATTGCACCAGTTCAGGATAAAGGTTTATTTGTCAGTTCTATAAATGTTCCACTGTTACCACTGCAAATGTTGTCAAATGAAATTATTGGGGAAAGGGAAGAACCCCAATCTCATAACAGCGAACCCTCACAGTTACAACGTTTTATTAAAGGCACTGTAAATTTGATTGGTTATATTTCTGCATGATCTTTTTTCTAATTTAAGTGATACAGATGGTTACATTTTATGGTTTGAGGATCTTGGATTGGTAGTACTAGTCCCTTCTAGAAAAAGGCATGGTGGAATCCAGGAAGAACTGCTGCCACCTCCTACTTCCGCAGGCTCAGGCAAGCTCCAAGGCTTTAGGGCAGAGGAATGGAGAGGAAACTTGAATGGTGGTAGTTACAGAAGTGAATGGAAGATGTTTGCTACAGAAAAATAGATGAAAGAGGGATTTTTTCCTCCAGCAAAAGATAAAATATGGTTTTAAATAAATAACAGCTGGAATAAATAGCTGAAATCTTGTTGGCACAGTTCTGCTCACATAAGGCTGATGGGTGTCATCAACTGCAACCTTTTATCTTTAATTAAAAGTTTCTTGTTTCCTTCCCACCTCAGATTCTGAAGTTTCCCTTTGACTTTGTGTGAAAAAATTGATAGGACACCTAATGATTCTTTGGCATAATTTTGATTCCTTGTATAAATGATGTGTCTTAGCTAGCATTAGTTCCAATGGGAAACTGGACATCAAAGGAGCATTTATTTATTTATTTATTTATTTATTTATTTATTTATTTATTTATTTATTTATTTATTTACTTACTTACTTACTTACTTACTTACTTACTTACTTACTTACTTACTTACTTACTTACTTACT